AAACTGGTTTGTAAGATAAGTGTAAAGATTGGGCACATGTCTTTGTGTAAGTTGCTAGCCAATCAAGATATTTTTCTAAACAAGTTTTAATAGACTTGACTTCCAGGAAGGTGGCAGTGGTGAGCAGCAACAAATCAGTCTCTCCAAGATTTGGAATCCAGACACTGGAAGATAACACCTTAGGGGAAAAAGGAAGGAAGGAGGCGGGTCCTTGGGACCCAGTAACGGGAAAATTGGAGTTTACTGAGGAAGAGCCACACCACCATGCAGAAACAGGAAGGAGCTCTGTACTTATTCCCTTGCTCCTGGCTTATGGCTCATGAGAAAGGAAAATCAAATCTACAGAGACACAGTGAAAGTGGGTGACTCTAGAGGCTTCAGGAAACTAGGCAAGGTGGTGCACACCTACAATCCCAGCACTGAGGCCGGAGGATTGCTGTGAGTTTGAGGACAGTCTGGGCTACACAGTAAGACCTTATCTCAAAATGCCAAAACCAAAACCAAATTATACCAAAACAAAACAAAAAACTTAGGCCTTCAGGGGGAAATACACCAGGGGAACAGCTGTCCCACTGTGTGGGACAACAGCTGGTGAGTGGCTGACTGCTCTCTCTGGTAAACAGCCACATCCAAAGCAGAACATGAAAAGTAACCAGACAGCCACATCCAAAGCAGACAGCCACATCCAAAGCAGAACATGAAAAGTAACCAGAGAGATCTCTATACTACCAGCAAATCTTTAGACTATAAGCATCAACAAACCTCTGCATAAAAATAGAACAAGACACATACACTATAAAAATATGGGTAGGAAAGGGAACAAAATGCTTCTTTCAACTCCCGACTCCCCCAGATTTGCTCGGCCAAAGCAAATGGGCAACCATGGGGCAAAACTATATAAACCACATACCTGAATTACTCAAAAGCATAGCAGAGGAAGTTAGAAAATAGCTCAAAGAGATACTCAGGGGCTGGTGAGATGGCTCAGTGGTCTAAAGCACTTACTTAGAACAAGCCTAGCAAAGCACAGGGACCACGGTTCAATCCCCCAGCACCACATGCTAGCCCCGCCCCCTGGTGGGCTGAGCTGGCCACACACACACACATACATAAATAAAATTTTTAAAAAAAAGTTCTAACTCATCTTTTTCATAATTATCCTGTTGTGATTATTTCACTTGTTTCTTTGGCTTTGTCTCCTCCAGACTCAAAGCTATGTCTACCCAAGAGAAAAATGCCTGTCATATATCGAGGGCCTTTAGATAAGACCTCTGAAGAATATGTCTGACTGCCAGTCAACAACTACCACCCATTCCAGTGTGAAGAAGCCAGAGCAGCCTTTGCCCATATTTACCTTCACGGCAGTTCAGGTTACTTCTTCAGAGGGGGGAAGACTGTAGGCAGCGGAGTTAGATAAAAATATTATAGGCAGTCAGACAGGGCCGGGCCCTCAAAGGAGACAGCACACAAGATGAGATGCCTTACAACTGTGGGAGGGGCGGATGCTCCTGCTGTGAACCAGACCTAAAGACCTAAAAGCCAAACAAATGCTAAACAAGTAGCACCTCGGATTGATATTCTAATAGGT